TTCCTGGAACATCATTATGGGTCACCAAAGTTGTTTTGGTAGGTTCATCTATTCTTTTCTTTTTTTTTTTTTTTTTTTTTTTTTTTGGAAATGGAGTCTTGCTCTGTTGCCAGGCTGGAGTGTAGTGGTGTGATCTTGGCTCGCTGCAACCTCTACCTCCCAGGTTCAAGTGATTCTCCTGCCTCAGCCTCCTGGGTATCTGGGACTACATGTGCTCGCCACCATGCCCAGGTAATTTTTGTATTTTTAGTAGAGACAGGGCTTCACCATGTTGGCTAGGATGATTTTGATCTCTTGACCTTGTGATCCGTCCACCTCAGCCTCCCAAAGTGCTGGGATTACAGGTGTGAGCCAGTCTACCTGGCTGGTCATCTATTCTTTACATTACTTTCCACCATTAGCCAACCCATTCAAAGTTCTAAGTCACTAACTGACTTCACAACAACTTCACTTTGGAAATGTAAGTAGCTTGTAAATTGGGAACTGCCACTGTTTACATGTGGCCAGAGACCAGCTCGTGATTCTTACCGCTGTGAGTGGGCGGAAGGGTAGTGGGTGGGGAAGGACAATTTTCTTTGTCTTTTCACTTAAACACAGATTTTGTAGAGACAAGGCAGTTTGAAAATCAGTGGTCAGGAACTACACATGACTATGAAAATGCAAACCAAGGAATCCAAAGATTTACATCAACTGTAGAAACATCAATATTTCTGAAAAGCTGCACCCATCAATTGTGTACTGCAGCACATTTAGTTCCAAGTCTGAGAACACTGAACCTGGGCAATCTATCTGCATATGTCTTAGGCTAACCAAACAAATTTTGCAGAGATAGATAGCTTAGAACACACAGTTGATGTAGACCAAAAGGGCTTCATAAAAGAGTCAAATGCAGTAATGACATTAATAGAAATGTGGATGCAGAGAAAGTCTCTTTCTGTGGTGCCCTGCTGTCTCTGAAAACTGAGGAAGGCTTTCATGACAAAGAAGTAACCTTTTGTTTGCTGTATACAACAAGATCATACAAATCCCATCAAGAGGGCTTGCAAAATAAATGCAAAGCTTGATGCCAAGATATTATTTCCCGTCCTGTGGTGTTATTTCATAAAGACTTGTCAAGAGGTCAATCCCTTAGTCACAAGAGTCAGGCTACACATCACCTTGGGGGAAAAATTATTTAATTTCCATTGGTGATGTAAATACTACTTCTTCTTTTTTTTTTTTTTTTTTGAGACAGAGTTTTGCCCTTGTTGCCCAGGTTGGAGTGCAGGGGCATGATCTCTGCTCACTGCAACCTCAGCCTCTGAGGTTCAAGTGATTCTCCTGTCTCAGGCTCCCTAGTAGCTAGGACTACAGGTGCCTGCCACCACACCAAGCTAATTTTTTTTTTTAATTTTTTTAGACGGAGTTTCGCTCTTGTTGCCCAGGCTTGAGTGCAATGGCAGGATCTCAGCTAACTGCAATCTCTGCCTCCCGGTCCAAGCGATTCCACTGCCTCAGCCTCCCGAGTAGCTGCGATTACAGGCGCCTGCCACCACACTCGGCTAATTTTTTATATTTTTGGTAAAGATGGGGTTTCACCATGTGGGCCAGGCTGGTTTCAAACTCTTAAACCCAGGTGATCCACCTGTCTCAACTTTCCAAAGTGCTGGGATTACAGGTGTGAGCCACTGCACACAGCTAATTTTTGTATCTTTAGGAGAGAAAGGATTTCACCAGGTTGGCCAGGCTAGCCTCAAACTCCTACCTCAGGTGAGCCACCTGCCTAGGCCTGTAAATGCTACTTCAAATTCCATCAGTTGCCGAACTATCTTTACCATACGTTCTTCTGTGTAGTCAGTTCTCTTGAAATATCTAATGGCCACTAAAACAAGAGTTTCATTCCACAGCTGTCCAAGTGAATTATGCTACACTCACAAGGTATTTTGAAAAGCTAAGACAAATTTATCTCAGTCAATCCAATATTATTCCTTCCTTGTTTCATTTGAAGATCACACAATGGGACAGTGATTCTGCACAGCAGAGAGTGTATGTGTGTGTGTGTGTATGTGTGTGTGTGTGGTGTGTACACTCACACACGTGTGTGTGTATAAAGCTGTACAATCTAATCACCACAGCTCTGCAAAGAACATGGCACAACTGTATTTAGGTTTCAGAAATGGAAAGATGAAAAGGCAAAAAAAAAAAAAAAAAAAAAAACTTCCCAAGAAATCACTCTCAAAAGCTGTTTCCAGAATACCTTCTCAAGAAACTTAAAAATAGGATCCGCTTTGTAATGTACGTGTATAAAGCAGGTAAACTCATAGCTAGTTAATGACCTTTTAATGGTAGAACCATAAATGGGTATTTCCAAAACATATTCACTTTATCAAATGCCTGAATTGATACTTAGTTATACAGAAATTTTTTCCCACCTCAACAAAGGCTTAAGACAGCCTCCAAAAATTTATACAGAGGAGTTTTATTTTGTCCAGTGAAAGTCCTACTTTCAACCATTACAAGTACCAGAATTTTAAACTTTTACTATAAAAATACTCTATGGGATTATACAATCTTTCAACCATCTTCTTAACTTGAAATTTTTTTAACTAAACAAATATGACAAGACAGAATTAAAACTTCATTGATCATAGAATATAAACTGACAGTCAATGAAGTTCTAAGGAAAGTATAAAATGGTGAAATGTTGTCATTCGTTTAAAAAAGTACAATCTAAAGCAAGTCAAATGAACTATCAATACTTTGACACCTGCTACAAACACAGCAGACTGTAGCAGATGTAGAAAGGAAAAAGACACATGACACAGTTACTGGCAACAGGGAACTTAGTGTGTTGGAGGAACATGACACGGAACTCTAGACAAACACTGGATCACAGACATCACAGGATGCAGGTTTAGACTCAAAAGGAAGTTGGATAGGTCAAGTAGAGCATTTTCTGTCAGATAAACCTATTAGACACATTTTTAAAATGAAATATGATATGTCCACACCTCATATCTTAACACCAATCAATAATGCCATCAAAATAAATTACATGCAACTAAGAAACTTTAACCCATATCTTCCCTATATCCCTCATCACACAGTATTTATTTTTCATAAATCTGAATCTCCCACTATACAATAAAATACCAAAGATTGGGGGATGTCCTATTTAACTTTGATTCCTTATCACTTGGAACCTACTGGACACATAATGATCCAATGTATTGTTGGTGGGTACATAGTTGAGCAAATGAATGAATGAACAGACAGTGTTATAATAGTAGCTGTTAATTTGGATTTGATTTATCTGAATATAAATATTGATTCTGCACAATAAAACGTAGTTTAGAAGGCTTCTACAAAGTTTTTTTAAATAAAGAGCTAGGGGTCTTTATTTAAAAAATAAAGGCTAAAGTACAATGACACAATCATAGCTCACTGCAGCTTCAAACCCCTGGGCTAAAGAGATGCTCTTCAAAGTTACATTTCATAAAACAAATGGTCAAAATTAATAATAAAATTAATAATAAACAATATGCAAGAGAGTTGTTCATTGAAGCATTATTCACAGTAGGAAAAGTGGCAACAATCTAAATTTTCAGCAGCTGGGTAGCATGCAGTTTTATTATGGTCATACACTGATTATGAAACTATTAAAAATGACAAATATAGGCCCAGTGAAGTGGCTTATATCTGTAATCCCAGCACTTTGGGAGGCCAAGGTGGGCAGATCACTTGAGGTCAGGAGTTTGAGACCAGCCTGGCCAACATGGTGAAACCCCATCTATATTAAAAATAGAAAAATTAGCCAGATATGGTGACACTCGCCTGTAATCCCAGTTACTCAGGAGGCTGAGGCAGGAGAATCATTTGAACCTGGGAGGTAGATGTTGCAGTGAGCCAAGATCATGCCACTGCACTCCAGCATGGGCGACAGAGCAAGACTTTATCTCAATAAATAAATACAACAACTAAGAAGGCCTGCAACAGAGAGAAATTAAGATATAATAGGAATAAAAAATGAGAAGAGCAAAGTAGTATGTATGCTATAGCTACAAACAGATAAAAATATGTAAAACGACTGGAATCAAATACATACAAAATATACTTAAGTATATAGGTTTAGGACTTACAAGTAATTTTTTTTCTACTCTAAACTTTCTGTCAAACTGTTACATTGCAGCCAGGCACAGTGGTCCATGCCTGTAATCTCAGCACTCTGGGAGGCCGAGGCAGTGGATCACAAGGTCAAGAGATCAAGACCATCCTGTCCAACATGGTGAACCCATGTCTCTACTAAAAATACAAAAATTAGCTGGGCGTGGTGGCACACACCTGTAGTCCCAGCTACTCAGGAGGCTGAGGCAGAAGAATTGCTTGAACCTGCGAGACAGAGGTTGCAGTGAGCCGAGATCGCGCCACTGCACTCTAGCCTGCAACATTGCCATTTACAGGTCTTGTTGTAAAGGTAGACGATTCACAGTAAGTTTCTAACAGAAATTATTACAGTGATCATTAACAGCAACTTATTTCATCAAATTAACTGATATTGACTAGAAGATATACCAGTATTTTATGTACTAAGAATAAAAATAGAAGTTATATTACATTCATAGGCCTTAAAAATAATAAAAGTTCTGCCAATTATAGCTGTAAAATGTCAGTGACTGCAAGATTTATCAAATTTCAAAGATATTAAAATGTGAAAAGATATGTGTCTTAGAATCAATAAAGTAAGATATGTATTATAAAGCAGCAATAAGAATATTTTATTGGTAAAAAGGTGATCACTAGTAGTGACTAGATAACTAATAAATCTATGGAAAATCTGATGGAAATCTCTTAAATAAATGGCTTGATTCACAAATAGAAGTTTTATGTAAGAATTTTGATAATAAAATACATTACACATGACATTACACCACAGAGGGCAAGTATTCATCATGCCTCTGAGATAAAATGTTTCTGGTCCAAAAGAATTGAGTAAATGAATTATCAAGAAGAAATTAAATTGCTTGCTTTGACAGCACATATACTAAAATAAGAATAATACAGAGAAGATTTGCATGGTCCCTGCACAAGGACAGCATGCAAATCTGTGAAGCATTTCATATTTTAATCAGTACATATACATATATCAAAGCATTATGCTGTACTCGTTGAATATATATAATCTTTGTTAATTTTTTTTTAAAAAAAGAAAACATGGCTAGAAAATTCTTGGCCAGGCACAGTGGCTCACGCTTGTTATCCCAGCACTTTGGGAGGCCAATGTGGGTAGATCATGAGGTCAGGAGTTCAAGACCAGCCTGGCCAAGATGGTGAAAGCCCGTCTCTACTAAAAATACAAAAATTAGCTGGGTGTGGTGGCATGCACCTATAATCCCAGCTACTCAGGAGCCTAAGACAGGAGAATCGCTTGAACCCTGGAGGTGGAGGTTGCAGTGAGCCGAGATTGTGCCATTGCACTCCAACTTGGGTGACAGAGTGAGACTCTCATAAAAAAAGAAAAGAAAAGAAAAAAGAAGAAAATTCTTGATTTCTGAGGATGACTGAAGAAATGAAGGAAGAGAGGGAGAAATTAAAGTAAGCCAAGAAGCCTAAACAAGATTCCCACCTTCAGTAGAAAGTAAGTCATTAAATTAACTGTTTGAGTGGCATTTCCCTGAAAATAAGACTGAAACTGCCTTTGCCACATAATCACAGAGAAGGTCATTCACTGAATTATAGTAACAACAAATTTTTTACATGGGAATAGGGTGTAGAGAAGTCGTAAGTCTACATGTTGAATGGAACATCATGATTCAGAAAAGCAGAATTAAAATTGGGAATTTTCAGACACTGGTCCTCTAAGCTTTCCTCAAGTTCACTCTTTAGCTTTTCATTTAATATAATAATGATAATTAATTAATCTCACCTGAACTTTTAGCAGTTCATCATGAAGAAAACATAAGAAACTTTCCAATTGGTTATCATATTATGAGACACTGCCTTAACCATCCATGAGAGAGTAATCACAATAATGCAACAAATAATAAGAACAAACTGCAATGAGTAGTGAGACAAAGGCACTACCCAAGGGGGGAAAAAATGGCAGAGACAATCAAGTTAATTATTTTAAAGCATTGATTATTTAAACCCTTCATACATCTGCATATACAAGGCAAAGAGGTCCCTTTTTCATTGCCAAACTACCAAAAAAAAAAAAATAAGTCTAATACTGAAATAATCTATGATTTGTAATAATTTATAAATGAAAGTCATAAAAGCCAACCTCTAAGAAAAAAATCAACAAAACCAAGAGATGGTTCTTTGAAAAGATTGACAAAATTGGTACTCCTTTAGGTAGATTGACTAAGAAAAAGAAGACTAAAATCAGAAGTGAAAAGGGGGACATTACTACTGATTCTACAGAAATCAAAAGGATTATAGGAGTATAATTACCAACAGATGAGATAACCTATATGAAAAGGACAAATTCCTAAACACAAAACCTACCAAAACTGAATCATCAAGAAATGAAAAGCCTAAACACATCCGTAACTAGTAAAGACATTGATTAGTAATCAGAAACCTCCCAACAAAGAAAAGCCAAAGACTAGACGGCTTCACAGCTGAATTCCATTAAACATTTAAAGAAGAATCAACATCAATCCTTCTCAACTCCTCCAAAAATCTAAGAAACACTTCCAAACTCCTATCAGACAGCATTACCCTGATACCAAAGAAAAACAATTACACTGTAAGAAAAGAAAACTACAGACTATTACTTCTTATGAAAATTGATGCGAAAATCCTTAACAAAAGACTACTAAACCAAATTCAAAAGCTTATTAAAAGAATTATATACCATGATCAAGTGGGACTTATCTCTGGAATGTAAGGATAATTCAACATATGAAAATTGATCAATGAAATGTACCACATTAACAGAACAAATAGGAAAAAACACATCATCATCTCATTTGATGCAGAAAGAGCATTTGACAAAATTCAGCAACTTTAATGATAAAAAACACTCAACAGGCCGGGCGCGGTGGCTCAAGCCTGTAATCCCAGCACTTTGGGAGGCCGAGGTGGGTGGATCACGAGGTCAAGAGATCAAGACCATCCTGGTCAACATGGTGAAACCCCATCTCTACTAAAAATACTAAAAATTAGCTGGGCATGGTGGCGTGTGCCTGTCATCCCAGCTACTCAGGAGGCTGAGGCAGGAGAATTGCCTGAACCCAGGAGGCGGAGGTTGCGGTGAGCCGAGATCGCGCCATTGCACTCCAGCCTGGGCAACAAGAGCAAAACTCCGTCTCAAAAAAAAAAAAAAAAAACACTCAACAAAATAGGAATAGAAGGAAATCATCTCAACACGACAAAGGTCACATATGAAAAGCCCACAGCTAACAGCATACTCAATGGTAAATGACTGAAAGCATTTCCTGTAAGATCAAGAAGATAACAATGTCCACTTTCACCACTTCTCATCAACATAGTACTGGAAGTCCTGGCCAGAGCAATTTGGCAAGAAAAAAAAAATCCATCTAGATTGGAGAGAAAAAAGTAAAATTATCTTTGTTTGCAGATGATATAATCTCATGGGTAGAAAAAATCTTAAAAATTCCATACACACACAAAAAAAACTGTTAGAATAAGATAAAAGTCAAATAAATGGATAGGCTGGGTATGGTGGCATGTATCTAGAGTCCTAGCTACCCAGGAGGCTGAGGCAGGAGGATCACTTGAGCCCAGGAGTTCAAGGCTATAGAGAACTATGATCACATCACTGCAACCCAGTCTGTCTTCCAGACTGAGGCCCTTTCTCTAAAAATAAATACATATTTAATAAATAAAAATGAATGGAAAGACAACCTGTGTTCATAGAACACTTAATATTGTTAAGTCATCAATACTACTTAAAGCAATGCAATTCCTACTAAAACCCCCTGTTGTTTTCTGCAGAAACAGAAAAATCAGCATTTATTACTTTTAAATATATCTTTAAAATTACCAATAATCACCTGTATTTAATCTATAGAGTATATTCAACATCACAAATCAGAAGCTACTAAATCCATTCAGATTCAGAGGATCTAATTTTTTCTTTCCTTTTCTTTTGAGATGGAGTCTTGCTCTGTCACCTGGAATGGAGTACAGTGGTACCATCTCGGCTTACTGCAACCTCTGCCTCCAAGGTTTAATCAGTCCTTCCACCTCAGCCTCCCATGTTGCTGGAATTACAAGCATGTACCACCATGCCTGGCTAATTTTTTATTTTTTAGTAGAGATGGGGTTTCAACATGTTGTCCAGGCTGGTCTTAAACCCCTGCTCTCAAGTAATCTACCTACTTTAGCCTCCCAAAGTGCTGGGCTTACAGCTGTAAGCCACTGCGCACAGCCAGAATCTAATAATTTTTTTTTGTTTGGTTTTGTTTTATTTTTTGAGATGGAGTCTCGCTCTGTCAGGCTGGAATGCAGTGGTGCGATCTCAGCTCCCTGCAACCTCCACCTCCCAGGTTTAAGCAATTCCCCTGCCTCAGCCTCCCGAGTAGCTGGGACTACAAGTGTGTGCCACCATGCCCAGCTAATTTTTGTATTTCATCATGTTGGCCAGAATGGTCTCAAGGTCTTGACCTTGTGATCTGCCCACCTCGGCCTCCCAAAGTACTGGAATTATAGGCATGAGCCATCATGCCTGGTGGACCCAATATTTTAAACAGAATGGTATCATCACTAGTATTCAGGCCTACAGCGAGACATTTTACATAAGACAATCACAGGGGAGACTTACTGAGCTCATCATAATCATCAGAAAATAAGTCTGCCATTGAACTTCAAAAGCACACCAAGAGAGCAGTATAACGTCAAATAATGGGGGCTTTTCCAGCAATAGATGCATGGGCCTCCACAAAACAGCTGCAGTCACAAACAAAGGCAGTGTTAAGAATAGTAACTGTCATCATCAGATACAGACAAGTTGAATCTGTTCAAAACTTGTGTGAGGTACTTTTAGAACTTACTATAGATTCATAGATTTCATGATGGACAAGGACCTTAAAAATCATGTTACATGTGAAAATCATTTAATGAGTAAGAAAATGAGGACTGTGGAAGAGGTACCTGATGTCTCCAAGGTCACATAGGGAGGTGGCACAACCACGACTATAACTCAGGTTTACTGTGTTCCTCTATCTTCTCTAATCAAACTCCTGAGCTAAAGGTCAAGAGTACTACCTTAGTTTGTTGGTGAAAAGGTCACCACAAAGCGGTTTCTCAAAGACTCCTGACCACATCAGTATACACCCACTATAGTTAAACAGCTCACCCCTGTCCTTGCAAAGGAACCTCCTAGGATTATATGGGGAGCTTACTGATACTAGTCTTTTTGACAGCTGTGGCTAATGCCAATCCCATCCCTGTAGAAAGAGCTTAGGATCTGCACTGTGAGAGGTGGACTTCCCATTGTTAAATATCCTGGGAAGAGACAGATCCTGATATAAGAAATGGGAACTAGCAAGGAAAGATTTGGGATAAGGAAGGAGGAAACCCTCCCTCTTTCAGGGCAGGCCTCATTCTCTGGCCTGGATTCTACATCTAGCTGTGCTAACAGTCACTTCTCAAAGTAGGGACTGGATGGTCTAAACCAGAGAGGCAGCCTGGTGGAGGACCCAGTGAGAAATGGGTCTAGGCCTGCCATAACTAGCAGGTATTTTGGGTTTTTTTTAAGTCATAAACTCAACTTCTGTCTTCTCTAGGGAATTAAAGACATATTTCCAGATGAGGGATGAAATGGAAACTGGGAAAGCAGAGTCCCCAAAGAGCTATCACAGTGCTCGCAGTGATGCTTAGCAAGGTGTGCAAAGAAAATGGGAATCACTGAGATAGGAATCAAGTTATGATGTCCAGACTCACCTCACCATATGAAGATGGTTTCTCTTCCTGATCATCTCAGAGACAGGGGCATTAATACTTATTTATCCAGGTAACAAAGCTGAAAGAAGGGGCATTAATTTAACTAAGCAATCGAGTGGGTTTCCTTGAAAACCATCATAGGTTAAACACAGATTTCTGGACACTGACAACCCAGGCTGATATCCAGTGGATGACCATCTAGAACATCTACAGTC